CCTAAGTCTGTGAACAATGGCTTCTTCTAAACAATAATAAAATTCTTTTCAAGATCTTGCTCCTCAAATCAACATCTCGAGCTCATCCTCTACTCCAAACAAAGAAAGGTATGTTGAACCTACAAGAACTCGTCTCCCTCTGCTTGATACCCTTGAGGTTCTCTGTGAACTTATAGTTGATTTTGAAAGCATGAAATAAAATGGGTATGATCTTACTTCCGATGTTGAGTTTCAAGGATGGACAAAATACTTTGATAAGTTAATTGGTCCAATTTTCCCAAACTGGTTAAAGAATTCTGGATTCATGCTACTGCATCAAATTATCAAGTAACTTCGTATGTAATTGGAAAGAAGATCGTCATCATCGAAGATCTCATTTGAAAGATCATTGGTCATGATGGAAGCGACATCAGGTGCAATCTGAATTTGAGATGAGTCTTGTTGGTGAATTGACCTATTTTCTTGGACTTCAAGTGAAACAAATGGATGACTCTATCTTCATTTCTCAAAGTAAGTATGCCAAGAACATAATAAAAAAAAATTGGTATGGAAAATGCAAGTCACAAGAGGAAACCTGCACCCACTCATTTGAAACTATCTAAAGATGAAAACATGTTGTTATTGACCAAAGCTTGTACAATAGCATAATTGGTAGCTTGTTATACATTACATCAAGCAGACGTGATATCACATTTGATGTGGGTGTGTGTGCAAGATATCAAGTTGAGTAAAAAACAAGTCACATCAATCAAGGAAAGAGGATTCTAAGATGAATCAATGGTACTAGTGACTGTGTCATGTTATACTCTCGTGGTTCAGATTCCATGTTGGTAGGGTATTGTGATGCAGATTGGGAAGGTAGTGCTGATGACAGAAAAAGCACTTTTTATGGACGTTTCTTTTGGGGAAATAATATGATCTCTTAGCTTAGTAAGAAACAACATTGTGTTTCCTTATCTACTACTGACGTTGAGTATATTGCAAATGGAAGTAGTTATTAACAACTGATATGGATGAAACAAATGTTGAAGGAATATAATGTCAAATAGGATGTCATTATATTATATTGTGATAATATGAGCGCTATTAACATTTCAAAGAATCCTATTCAACATAGAAAGATCAAACATATTGATATTCATCATCATTTTATCAGAGATCTTATTAAAGACAAGGATATTACTCTGGAGCATATAACCACTGAGAAACAACTGGCTGATATTTTCACCTAAGCTTTGGATTCAAATCAGTTTGAAAAACTTAGGGCTGAATTGGAGATATGCGTACTTGAGGAACCTTAGGTTTCACCCGATAGTGTATGTTTTCATTAATGAGTGTATGTTTCCAACTATTCTTTTGTGCTTTCATTTGTTGTTTATGCTTGTGTATTTCCAGTTCTTTTCATATTTACTCCATTTTTGTCAATTTTTAGCTATAAATGGGGAGTAAGTGTTAGTGAGTATTTGTTTGAAAGTTTGTTTGTCTTGATGTTGATGTCATGTTAAATATCTTGACATGTTGATTGACATAGTGATATGATTGTACTACTTCTTAGAAAGAGTAATCTTTTTTGTTGCTTGCTATGTATGCAAATGTTTAGGGGGAGCAAAATTGTCTGTCATGTTTGTTGCTAGTGCTTAAGGAAATTTGCTTATGCTACTACTACTACTACCGATGTGTGTGTGCATGATGTCATATCAGATGTCCTGACATCTTATCTGATGTGTTTTTATGGAAAATTTTGTGCAATAGTTTTCTATTTATGAAGTTTTTTATCTTCGGTTACATGTGCCTCTGATGAGTGAACTTGGACAGTTTATTAGTTTGTTTGGATATTCCCTTGAGGGGGAGTATTGATTATTTGTGACAGAGAAGTAATGGACATGTCTGAAGTTGCTAAGGTGCTGAGTTTGTTGTGCTGAGATGAAGTTGTTTTTTGGTTGTGTTGATGTGATGTCAGACTACATGTCATGGCATCTGATCTCTAGAGTCTTTTGGAATTTGAACAAAAGTTGTGTGTGAGGCTGGGTCTCTCTAGTTGAATTTATATATGATGTTTTCTAATTGCAGTTTGTACAAAGTTTACATGTTTTTCATGTAGCTTGTGTTTTGTTCTTTTAGGTTTTATTCCTTTTATCCAGTTTAATTGTGCTAAGGTTATTTTAGCCAAAATTTGCCAAAGGGAGAGATTATTAGGTCCGTGATTTTATGATTGGTAATAATTTTGGTAAAACATGTTTCATTTGGAAAAACATGTATCATAGCCAGATGTTGAGCAAGATGTCATGACATCTTGACCAACTGTCATGACAGGTTCTACTTTCATGAATCTCAGACAGATGTTGAGCCAGATGTCTTGACATCTTAGTCAACTGTACAACAGGTGTTGCTATTATTTTCTTGACAAATTTGATTTGTTTTTATGAGATTCACTTGGATATATCTCACTTATTTTCGCAGGTCAAGAAGATTTTATTAGGAACAATGCAGATTTGATATGGTTTCATAAAAAGGATCTTGGAGACTTTTTAGGAAACTATGAAAATTTGTTTCTATTTTTATGGAGAAGATCTTGCATTTGATTTATAATTGGAAGATTGGATTTGTTTTAAGAGTGCAATCACATACTGCAAGAGTCTATATATAAGGACTTTCTAAACCTAAAATTAGCAAGAATTCACATCAAGAAACTGTTTGTAGTTTAAAAAAGGGTTTAGGATTTTGAGAGTACTTTAGGTTCTTTGTTTGTTTTTTGTATGTTAATCATGTATCTTCTTATACATTGAGGTAGACAGATTGTTCACTATTACTTACCAATCACTCATGAGTTTTTAAGCAAAGAGTAGATTGTGTGTCAAGTTATTGTTCTCAGTTAAAAGCTTTTAAGCAAAACTGAGTATTGTAATCAAAAGTGTGTTCTTCTATTTTTGTTATTGTCACTCAGGTGATTGTGAGAAGTGAGATGGGGATCTCATATCTAGAAGGTTTCTAGGTAGAAGTAGCATAAGGTAGTGATTAGGAGATAATTTGTAAACTAGAATTTGTTTAGCTTTGAAATAATACTATCATAGTGGATTTACTTCCTCGCTTAGATGTCCACATAGTAGGTGAGTTGCATCGAGCTGGGTTAATAATTGATTGTGTCTTTTATCTTCTGCTATTTACTTCTACATAATTTATTATTTTAGTAAAAGTATTTTGTCAGCATATGATGTCTTAACATCTATCTAGACATTGTGTTTTTGTGTTGGGACATCAGTCTTGACATCTGTTTTAAAGTGCTAAAATTTCAGCTGTGTATTGGTCAGTTATTGCATATTTATTTCCCACCACAAATCACAAGTTACACATAATTCAAATCACACAAGTCCTATTAACCTCTGCCCAGTTTGATTCGAATCACACTTTGCATATGACTCAAATCACAAAGTTTTTCACTTTTTCCTGTTTGGCTCTATCCAATTTGATTCGTATCATGGTTTATACTTGACTCAAATCATGTCTCTTCATGACTCAAATCACAACTATAACCTGACTCGAATCACAGGAAACATGTCATTTTTCTTTATGTTGATCCCGTTCCACTCTACTTATTTGATTCAAATAAACAAATACTCTTGACTAGAATCTAACAACCTATTTCACCTATTTTCGTGCATAATATTCAGTACATATAAATTATTGTTGTCATCTCATTCTTCATAAGTAACACAATAATCAAAGTGATTTTGTGAAATCAACAACCTCTATTTTTTAAAACTCAAAATCTCTTGCAAACAATTTTTTTTCATCTTCAACCTCTAGTTTGGATTCAGTTCTTAAATATGAAGATCTGTAATTGTTGAGGGAGATGTGTCTTGAAACTAACATTTCTCTGGTAAAGATTTTCAGGAAGCTTCCAAGATTATGATTGTTGTGACTAGCGGTGACACAAACTCAAGTGAAAAAAATGAGGTTCTTTTCTCTAGATTGACCTTGGTAGTGTTGCGTGAAAGCCTACAAATATGGTAGGAGTTCCTCTCAATCTTTAGACAGTTTATCGCTCAAGAAATCGGTGGAATCAAGTGTGTTTGTCACACACGAATACTTGGAGAAGATTGGTGAGGCTGAAAGATTCAAGAAGCAAGAATTGAGTAAAGATTTCACAGAGATTTTCACATAAAGGATGTATACATATAGGAGATTTATTTTTCTCATTATTATTATGGAATGGTGATTGTATGAACCCATGTAATATTTGTCAAAACTTAGTGAAAGAATTTTTTTTAATTAGAAACCATTGAAAAATAGAATAGGCTCATGTGAGGACGATATAGTCGAAACTCTCTCTCCCTCTCTCCCTTTCCCTCCCTCCCTCTCTCTTCCCTTTCTCCCTCTCTCTCATGTGTGCTCCTGTGAGAATGATCATGATTTAAAAGTACTATTTTTAAGTAATTAAATAAGTTAAATTTATTTATTTGTGACTGTCTAAATCTAATGAAAAACAAAAAGGGGTGGGTGAAGAGAGAAACCATAGTTGCCGGATCCCCATCAAACCCATTTAAACTTTGACCCAATCGAACGGTCCACAGCCACCCAATTATCAGCCATCACTAGAAACATCTACTCTCAAAAACACCAACCAAAAAAAAAATTGTTTTTTTCCCAAACAGATAATCTTTTGTCTTTTAAACCATTTTCATTTATTTTCATTAAATTATAATTATTAAATTCATTCAGGATAAGATGTCCTGCCACCCACCTCATTTTTATATTTAAATTATTTGCCACGACAATTCCCATAAAATTTAATCCAAAAACTATACATTAAAATATTACTAATTCACCAATCACTATTTCCTTTGTCAACAGTAGAATTAAAAATTCTGATACCCATGTGCCACTAACCAGATATTTATATCCACAAAACCACAAACTCTTTCTTTTCTTGTTACTGCGTCTTTTCATCTTAATTTCCATTTCCATTCACATAGCATAATCTACTACTCTTCTCTGAAACGATGCCGTTGTCTCTTGACACCAACGGAAGATCCAGTTTCGCCGATTACGTATCGATCTGCAACCAGGATTTTCCGGAGGAGGATTCTGATTCTGATTCTTGCGTATCTTCGCACTCTTCTCTTGGCAGTGATTCGTCGGAAGATTGTTCTGACAGGGAAGATTCCGGTGAAGTTGAGAAGAAAAGCGGTTTGGATAGTATGAATGATTTGGAGCAAGATTTACCGGTCAAGTAAGTTTTTGGATTATTGATTTTAGCATCTGGTTTCATATACTATGGATTTACTGTTTTACCCTTGAGGTGTTAAGTTATTTACTTGTTGTATATAGCGACCGTTGATTAGGTTATGTGTTTTGTTTTAATCAACGATCACATGTTTTTGTCCTGTTACTGTTGGTGTTAGTGTGAGCTTTAAGGGAAAGAGCATCTAGGTTTTTAATGGACAGAAAAAGAGCATCTAGATTGTGGGGTTACTTTTGGTTATTATTAGAAAAATTCTCCATCAAGTTGGGTACCATCTCTATTATTAGAGTCTGAAATAATTGTCTCAAGTAAAAAATGAGGGTTCAATATTCTGTTGGATTTAATATTAAAAAGATAAAAAATATATCTACAATATAATGATGCATTTGTAGAAGACTAGATGATTAAATTTTACAATATTGTGTACCATTATGAATTTGGTTCTAAGTAGGGACAGCTAGTTTTGGATGGCTTGCAAGTGGATAACTGTATTAAGTTTGCTCCAACTCATCAAGTATGAGTGGATAGGAGTAATGGATATCCAACTTGGCAGTTGGCACTTGCTATTCATATTTTGATATTTGATTTAAAATATTGAACTCATGAATTAACTAAGGTTTCTTAAATAGAAGCATTAAAAATTCCCATCCAAATATAATTGTTTATGCTATTGCTTTTTTTCAATTGCATGGTTAGTTCTTACCCTATCGAATTTGCACCCCATTGAGTACATATACCGAATTTGTGGTACTTCATTTTCTATTTAAAGATGAATGAAGTACCCGTGTCAAATATGCATATTGTATTTATGGTACTTCATTTTGCGTTTCAAGATGAATGAAATACACATACCAGGTACATACTCATCCTGGATGCATATACTGTATTCGTGTTGAAGTATTTGTATCGGGTAGACACATGAAATACTTGATTCAAAGAAGTTGGTAGTAAATTTAATTTGTTATTGTGTGTGGATTTTTTTTTTTTAAATTACTCTTTGTATATTAATATCTCTGAATTTAACTTTACATATTTCAAGATGAATAAATACTAATAAGTTCTACCTCCATTCCGTTGTATCCAATAAATATATCCAATAAATTTGAGAAATTTGATAATAGAACAGGTCCACACGTTGTATGGTGTTAGCTGCCACATAGATTTTTCATTTGTGTTAGGTTCAATAAACGCAAACAGACAGACATAAATCCTAAATTAATCATTACCAGTGCATAGGTCTTTACTCTCCTTTCTTACAGCGTGTCTCCTTTGTATGAAATGTTAGAATTTATGTTTGGATATATTTAGTAATTTGACCAATAAATTTAAGTTTATAAATTATGGAGGCAGTAACAATTTTAGTCAAGAACATATTTGTTTCAACTTTCACATCTTTCTGTTGTGTTGTGATTCAGGAAAGGCATATCCAACTTTTATATTGGCAAATCAAAATCATTCACAAACTTAGCAGAAGCAGCAGGTGCAACATGTGTTCAGGAGATAGTAAAAGCAGAAGACCCTTATGCTAAAAAACGAAAGGATTCACTTGCAAGAAACATATTAATCGGAAGGAGCCGCAGTTATGCAAATGTTGGTGGAATATCAAACTCAAAGCGAACTTCTAACTTAGGCCGACGAACATCTTGTCTCAATCTGAGCAGCAATGCTGACAGTAGTGATGAAGTGAAGAGTTCGACTTCTAGGTCAACATCTCCTCCTTGTCCACTTCCTCCTCGTCATCCACTAGCAAATGCTTCACGTCTTCGTCCTAGTCCTCCCACACGGGATCTCCCTTTGCGCTCATATTCATGGTCTGATCTCAACTCTGTTGCCGAGGGTCATGATTTGGCTGGTTTGGCTATTTGTAGTGGAAACAAAGACAATAAAGTACACTGAATTTTGATAGGAATTTCACTTTTTAGTTGCTAGCAATGGAGTTTATGAATTTGTTTTGTATTCGAGTGTTATCCATGTGAACTCGTCATAAACATATTACTGAGTAGGGTGTTGTATATTATGAATCTGAAAACCTACTTATTAGCATAGACAGTTTATGTCAACTTTCTTAATTTGTTTGATTGCTATTCAAAAATATCACAACTTTCAAAACATGAACGAATTTGATTTTGCAAAGAAGCATTTTTAGCATTTTGTTAGGAGTTTTATATCGAAAATTCTATGAGTTGGACACATATTTACAAAAAAGACAATCATCACTTTTAAATTGCTTTTGTAATATGAGTTTAATTCGTTTTGTTATATGTTTGAAGTTAAGTCTTTTTAGGACTAGTTTTTCCAAGATAATGAATAATAGGCATATTAGCATCAATTGGTTGTTTTTACTCAATCAACAATCTATAAACAAACTAAACTGTTTTGTTTTGTAGGCTATTGACTTGTAAAAAGACAGCATAAATTAACAATTGAATTGGGAGAGTTTTTTTTCTTCAAAACGAATTAGAACAAACATAAAATATATTGAAAAAATTTATATAAACTCTCTAAAACCTTAGTTAAATACAAATTTTGAATTTTCTTAAATTAGATATTTTGTATTACAGTATAATAAACACAAGTTCTTTAAAATTTTCCTAACTAAAAAAACTGATATGCTAGTATAAAAGTCTGGTATAGATATTTACCGATTTTCATTAAAAAATGATGCAAATATACATTTTTTCTAAAAACACCATGGATTATCGGAGTTTTTTCAAAATAGTGAAAAATTTGTTAGTGTTAATTTACCGGTTTTTTGAAAAAGCTTATGCATTTACTAGATGTTTAGACGGACTATAAAATAGTTTAAGTTTTTACGGTTGAGATTTTGCCAACGGTTTTGTACGAGTGTGATTACATCGACAATTGTGTGTGGTTCATAATAAATCTAAATTTATATAAACAAGGATCATATGTTGTTTAAAAAAATACTTAGAATGTCTCAATATTTGTATTGATTTTTGGCTCCTAAGGACACCAATACTCTCACGGTTCTTAAACTCAAATTGGATAATCTATTGTCCCACACCGAGAACATAAAAGTGGGTAAGATCGAGTTTCGTGTACCATTAATTGATGTTGAAAGAAATGTGAAATACAACAACATTGAGCTGAAAACTAATAAAGATTTAAAGGTTATGTGGAAAACATATCACCATAAACCAATAAAGGGGCCGATTGAGTTTGATGTGACAATTACTAGATCTGTTGATGATATAAACAAGATGTTAAAACGTCCATAATCATCTAGTACTGTCTAAATTTTGTTATTTATCACTATTTTGTCAAGTTATGTTTGTTAAGTTATGTAATTGTTTGTAGGGGTGGCAAAATGGGTAAGTCCATTTGACTCGTCAATTTTGGCGAGTTGTGCTGAAGTTTTTGACTCGGTATCTTAAGTTAGTCCGTTCCGTCTAATCCGCTTTAAAAAATAGGGCGGGGCGGATTTTGCCCGCGAGCTTTTTTTAAAAACTTTTTATTTTTTTACTTAGAATTAAAACAACTTTAACTATAAAAACAACACTCTTCTCTTAGGATTATGTTGATTGAGTTGTATTCTAAATTATTATACAGACAAATTGAATTATAATTGTAACATTCTTTCTATAACTTTCTAATACATGTGTTGATTGGAAAATCTTGAAATAAAAGAACAATTGTATGACATACATAATTATTAAGTTGTCAATACATTAGCTCATATGTTTTCTTTAGAAATAGATGTTGATTTTAAGAAAAAGAAGAATTTGATTAGTGTATATGTGTGACAAATTTAGGATTTAACTATTAAAGAATCGATCAATATAAGAGTCTATATGATATAAACAGTGAGAAAGTCAGGTGTTCATATTTTATGCACTATTATTTTATACATTATGATATTTTATACAGTGTAATTGTTATCATTGTTTGTCTTGTGGAAATTCTTAATTGATTTTTTAGTAGTTAGTTTTTAAATAGGATTAATATGATATGTATTGATTATTTATTTATTTATTTATTTATTTATTTGGATACGTTTTTTTATTGTGATTGAGTTTATTTCAGTTGTAATTGATTTTTATTTATTATATTTTTTGAACTGTTTCGACTTAAGAGATTCTAAAGCTCTATTATGCGCTGTTAAGAAAATATTTTGTCGACCTCTTTAGTTATAATTAAAAAATTTATAAATTATGTAGTAAATTAAATTGTAAAATAAAAAACTAAAAAATTGGCGGGTCGATCCGCCAACTCCCCAACTCGTTAATAAACAGAGCAAACTTGAATTTTGAACTCGGACGTCTAAGTTGGCCTGCTCTGCCCCGCTTTTGGACGGACTTAAACGGGACGAGTCTAAATGGAGCGGGTTGCCCGCTTTGTCACCCCTAATTGTTCGTGTTAAATTATATTAATCCAGCAATAATGAAAAGTTAAATGATTATCTAATAAACTATTAAGTTATAAAGCCTGTAATATACAACTACTATAAGAATAATACATAAATAATAAAATCTACACAGGTCTTCAATAAACTATGTATGCTATCTGCGATATTAAAGTATAAATCTCACAATTAGATTTACCAAATCCATGAAGTTATTTGTAAGTACTATTATCATCTGCAAACGATGTCGGTCAAATACACTAGGTGGAGGCGGTGACACATAATCAGAAGGTCCAACATCATTTGCATGCTCAACAGGTGAGATGATGCAAGAATGTGACACAGTACGATACCACTCTAAGTAATCCATTCACACATTGCCCAGGAAATTAAACCTCCAGTGTATAATCTATAATAACATGGGCATAATTGACAATGTTTGACACAAATCATCTATCAATACCCTCAGTTGGCACAAGAGGCACTAGTCGAGGGATGTTCTAAACATACCCAAAATGATGCAGCCACCTCTCAGATAAATGTCTAGCCACTAAAATCTCTCATTACAGATAATCAAAAAAAGGGAAGTATCACCAAACTCCTGATGCACTCTATGATTTGCTTAAGGTACCTAGATGACATCATCTAGACCAACACATCGATCATTTTCCTGTACTCTTGAAGTTCGCCTGAATGTGAAAGTCTGACCCTCCATCTCTTAAATCACGGGGGAGCCATCAGTGATAGGACCACTAACTAACTTCTTTTTGTTAATAGGTGGAACATGGGCATGTTGGGGGGAGATTATTAAGAGTATTGATGCATAGTGTAGGAACAAGCACCTTTGAGAGAGACACACCACTTCTCCACCTAAAACTTTAAGGTGATAGGTGAGTGGGTTCTCCCACTTATATATGCTTAAGTCTCCACATTCCTATCCAATGTGAGACTATTTTCCCACTTACCCACACTTGCTATATTATTCCAACACTCCCCCTCAAGTGTGAGTCCACAATGCTCCCCACTTGTACCGCACCACTTCTTGGGCGAATTTTGATACAAGTTCCTTCCGGTCTGTTTCTCAAACCAAAGGCTCATGATACCATGTTGGGGGGAGATTATTAAGAGCATTGATGCATAGTGTAGGAACAAGCACATTTGAGAGAGACACATCACTTATCCACCTAAAATCTTAAGGTGATAGGTGAGTGGGTTCTCCCACTTATATATGCTTAAGTCTCCACATTCCTATACAATGTGAGACTATTTCCCCACTTACTCACACTTGTTATATTATTCCAACAGGAGAAACAAAAATTACATTACTCCCTTAATGTTAGATACTTATATTCTTTATTTTTATTCTTCATTTATAAAAAAAATGTTTTCACTATTTTTATTCTTCATCTTGTATTTTGTCATATTCCCTCCGTTTTAAAATGAGTGTCGTTTTAGAAAAAAAATTATTTCAAAATGAATGTCATTCTCATTTTTTTATATAATAATAATAGTTATTTTTCTAATTGTGTTCTATAATTACTACACTACTAACTACTTTCAATAAATTAATTAAACTAACTTAATAAAAATATAATATCTCATAATAATATGATTTTATTTCTTAATCTATATATAAAAATCTTAATCGATATTATGAGAGTAAAGTTAACAATTAAATTTAGAGCCATATTTGTTGGAGGCATAAAAGAATTTTCTAGAATAACATGTATAATGAAGGTTGCAAGTGGTGTAATCATTATGTGATTGGAATATATCAATTTATAGAAACTTTCGTGTACTATTTCATTAAAAATATAAGGTTCCTATAGATTTAGATGAAGTTAAGGATTTGTGAGACAACGTTAAATTTCAATTGAGTAGTTTTTGAGACAATTAAATTCTAATCTTACAACTTTTTATTTTATTTTAATATTTTTATGTTAAAAAATATTAATTTAAAATGTCATATATATATATATATATATATATATATATATATATATATATATATATATATATATATATATATATATATATATATATATATATATATATATATATATATATATATATATATATATATATATATATATATATATATATATATATATATATATATATATATATATATATATATATATATATATATATATATATAATCTTGAAAAATGGATTTTAAGTTTATGGAGTAAGGAAGATGAATTAACGAGTTGAACTGAGTTGTTCGTATACTTAAAATAAATTGAATTTGAGCTTAAAAAAAGTTTGTGTCAAACTCAAGTTGGGTTTTGAGTTAACCAATTCTTATCGAATTGAGTCGAGTTGAGGCGAGTTCCGTAGCACCTCATTTCTCGTATAGATTATTTTATTTAATATATGTGTTTTTGATGATTTATTCAATTATTGAATGTTTATGGGGTAAATGTCCTTGAGTTAGGTGCATGGAGATATAATTAGAGGAGGATAGCATAATTTAGAATTATTTTCTTAATTAAAATAACGTTTTAGTTTTATTATTTGAATAAAATAAGAT